GAATGCATGCGCTTATTGCGATAGAAAACACTGTAACGGTTTCCACTGATTACGAAATATTTTGTTTGCTGGGGCCTATTAATAAGGAAGGGTGGGCCCAAAAATTGTTTTGCCTATGTCACGATAAGAGGTAAATCTGGCCCTGTTCGTCTGAAAGAAGAAAGTCATATACACCTAGGATGATTGGGTGAGTAAAACACTGGCTAATTTTCATTTTTGGGTGAACTAACCCTTTAAAACTGTAAAACCCTTTAGCTAATCTTGATGTTTACATAATTGACGTAAACTAGTCCACTCACCATTTGGCGAAATTCAACAGAGGATGCACAGTTTCATAATAAATTTAATTGAGAATTGCTAATTAAGAAATTTAAAACATTCTAACATAAAACTAAATTCCTTCTCTGCAGATTATTTTGCACTAAATGAGAGTTTCTTAACTTCCTGACCAAAAAAAAAAAAAAAAAGCAAAGGACTAGATTAGTAGTTTCCTGACAAAATGTGCTAAGATAAGCTATTTGTGCCATGTTGTTTTGCATATTACTTTTAAAACCCTGCCCTATGAAAACACACTTCTAGCAATCACAACCAAAGTCTAATGAGAAAAGAAACCAAAACACTTACAAGCTGCTGTCCTCTTCTTCAATATAAATGAATATTCTTCAACCAGTTGCGATTTTGTATTTTGCTTGAGCCTATCTGATTATAATAAGCAGATAAAGTTGGATATATGAATTACAGCTGTCAGTTGATGTTAGCAATTCATTTTGCAGTGATATCGGGGATTATGAAATCTGCAGGCTCTTTTTAAATTTCATTCATGATCTCAACATTGTTGGCAGTTTGAATTTGTATACAGTGGGAGATTTTCAAGCTGTGTCCATACATTGCATCTAATTTGTATATTAATGTGTTCTTGGGGCAAACCATAATGAAAAAAGAAGTGTAATACACTCTAAAGAAAAAAAATCCTGGGTTGTTTTTTAACCCAAATGCTGGATTGAGCCTTTTTTTTCAGTGTTTGGGTAGTTTTAGTGTTACTCAGATCCTGGATCAGACGTAACCCAGCAGTTGAGTTAATAATCACGGGGATTTTGCATCCTCTTCAGGAGAGAGCCGTTCTAAGCACCATCAGTAAATCCAATTCGGTTTAATGTTTCATTTTTACTTCTGTTTGTTAAACGAGTTTAAATATAGGCAATATGTATAGCCTACGTATTAAAAATGATATAAACAATGCTGTAAATGATATAAATAAAGGAAAATAAAGGAAGGTATCATGCAAACCAGTGGTTGTGTGGAGTATTTTACAAAAGTTTAGAGAAAAGTTCATCTGTAAACATTATTTAATGTATGAAGTAATAAATAAGCAAGTATTGTAGTAAAAATGAATCAACCCATATGCTGGGTTAAATAAACAACCCAATTTGCTGGGTAAAATTAACCCAAAATGTTTTCTGTCCTATATTTACCCAGTCCTTGGGTTAAAAATAACCCAAATTGGGTTGTTTTTAACCCAGTGTTTTTTTAGAGAGTAACGGGAGTAATAACTTGGCAACATTTTCATAAGAATATCTCATATTTCATAGGAACATTGATCAATAATTTCTTGTGTTTCCCCAAAATGCCTGATTAACAGCTGTTTGTCCTGGTGTCCTCTACAGAAGACAAGCATGAAAATTATGCCCCGTTTCATAAGTCATATTCCGATTTGAATCCCCTTAGCATTTTCCTGAGAAGTTTATTTACGACAAACATTTTGAAAATTAGTCCGATTTAAATGATAATTACAAAACATAATATTTCCCTAAGAGTGCTAAATGTGATCATTCTGTCAATATCAGCCATGTTTAAAGACCAAGGAGAGGGAGTGTTTATGATCAAACCTGCACTGTGTACAGGAGATCCAGACTTCAAACTGTGGCACACCATTAACTTCCTCAAAATACTGCATCTGCCTAAAAATAGCATCAGTATTACAGACTGCAAGCTGTGCACAAGAAATCTCATCGTCATGATTAATTCAAGTAAAAGTGAATAAAAACAATGCAACAAAATTTGAGTATTGTTAATCAGGGGGAAAAAACTTAGAACAGATTATTTTAGATGCACTTAATGAATTTCATAATTTCCTGACAAAGATGAAAAGCAGAATGCACACTTCCTGTTGAAAAGTGCTAAAGTAAGCCGTATTGTATATCTTAAGTTTCAGTTTTTCAAAGAATTAAGAAAGGAACAACATTTTTTTCAAGATATTTCACAGGAGTATTTGGTCTAGAAAACTATTCTGAGAAAAATGCAAATGATATCGAATCAGAAAACACCAAATATAATTTGTAAGTCGCACTAAAAAATGTCTACATGTCACTGCATTAAATAAAATATTAAAGCAAGTGCAATGAGTTTTGTTTAAAATTGCATAGGTTCGGTATAGAAAAATGAATGAATAAACGAGTTCATATCTTCACTACACTGAGTGCATTTGCTGTGACTGTGTGGATCGTGACGCCAAAATGTTTTCTGTCCTATATTTACCCAGTCCTTGGGTTAAAAATAACCCAAATTGGGTTGTTTTTAACCCAGTGTTTTTTTAGAGAGTAACGGGAGTAATAACTTGGCAACATTTTCATAAGAATATCTCATATTTCATAGGAACATTGATCAATAATTTCTTGTGTTTCCCCAAAATGCCTGATTAACAGCTGTTTGTCCTGGTGTCCTCTACAGAAGACAAGCATGAAAATTATGCCCCGTTTCATAAGTCATATTCCGATTTGAATCCCCTTAGCATTTTCCTGAGAAGTTTATTTACGACAAACATTTTGAAAATTAGTCCGATTTAAATGATAATTACAAAACATAATATTTCCCTAAGAGTGCTAAATGTGATCATTCTGTCAATATCAGCCATGTTTAAAGACCAAGGAGAGGGAGTGTTTATGATCAAACCTGCACTGTGTACAGGAGATCCAGACTTCAAACTGTGGCACACCATTAACTTCCTCAAAATACTGCATCTGCCTAAAAATAGCATCAGTATTACAGACTGCAAGCTGTGCACAAGAAATCTCATCGTCATGATTAATTCAAGTAAAAGTGAATAAAAACAATGCAACAAAATTTGAGTATTGTTAATCAGGGGGAAAAAACTTAGAACAGATTATTTTAGATGCACTTAATGAATTTCATAATTTCCTGACAAAGATGAAAAGCAGAATGCACACTTCCTGTTGAAAAGTGCTAAAGTAAGCCGTATTGTATATCTTAAGTTTCAGTTTTTCAAAGAATTAAGAAAGGAACAACATTTTTTTCAAGATATTTCACAGGAGTATTTGGTCTAGAAAACTATTCTGAGAAAAATGCAAATGATATCGAATCAGAAAACACCAAATATAATTTGTAAGTCGCACTAAAAAATGTCTACATGTCACTGCATTAAATAAAATATTAAAGCAAGTGCAATGAGTTTTGTTTAAAATTGCATAGGTTCGGTATAGAAAAATGAATGAATAAACGAGTTCATATCTTCACTACACTGAGTGCATTTGCTGTGACTGTGTGGATCGTGACGCTTGTGTTCCCTCCTCAGAGAAAGCTCTTTCAAAAACACGTCTTAGGGAAAGTTTAACCTTACTTTTAAAATCCTGCCCCATGAAAACATACAGAACGGGGTTCAGGCAGCTGTTGACATACGCCAAAGAGACGGCCAACGGATCCACTGCCGAAGCCACAGAGGAACTCGAGTCCTCTCCGTACATTGCTATCAAATCTACTATGTGATACGGCAGCCAGCAGAGAAAAAAGGCCACAATTACAGCCAACATGATGCGAACCGCTCGTCCAGAGTGAAAAGTACTCCTGCCTAACTTGTGTGCGATGACTCCGTAGCATGTTGTGATGCATATGAGAGGAATCAAAAAGCCAAACACAAATCTGATGACGCTTAATGTTCCAGATGCTGAAAGGCTGGAATCAACTTCTTCATCAGCATGAAATGTGCAAAGTGTGATGTTAAACTCAGTGAAAGTTTGTCTTAATAGCATAAAGGGCAAACTGAGCAACAAAGCCAAGACCCAGGCCGCTGCACAGGACAGCCGCGCAAGCAACAAATTACGATGATTCTGAGCCCAAACAGGTGTGATCACCTGAGTAAACCGATCCAGACTAATCAAGTTCAAGGTGAAAACACTGGCAAACATGGTGATGACTATAACAGAGGGGAGAATCTTGCACATGACGGATCCATACGGCCAGTGATGGTTAAGGAGGATCTGCGCCACACTGAAGGGTATGGAAAGGCAGCACAGGAGGTCTGCAGTCGCTAGATTGAGAAACCATATTGTATTAACCGTCCTCTTCATCTTCATTCCAGCGATGTACACAACGAACATGTTTCCGGGAACTCCGAGGAGGAACGTCAGGCAATAGATGACCAGAGAAAGTATCCTCATGGAATTGTTCACCTCTGGAGACACAGAGTGTGTCTCACTTTCATTCAAACACAACAGACAATAATTGAAACCTGAGGATTCATTGATGTAATAGTCTGTAAACGCCTGGTTCATTTTGCTCGAGTTGCTGCTGTCCAAAGTGCTTTGTTAATCCTGTAAATATCACATATTTTCAGTGTCAAATATTTCATTTAGCAGATGCTTTTATCCAAATGAGGAAATTAACAAGCAACATTCAACATCATTAAACAATACAATTAATTTGTATTATTAACATTTCAATTTGTTCTAAATAGTCACTTATATGTTGATATGGTTTGAATCACACTTCAGTTTTACAGATCCAATATAAATGTCTTACAAAACTTGTACTCACCTCCCCAGCTGCTCTGTACTCACTAACGATACTTGCCCCGCTTACCCCTTTAATCCGGAACCACAGGAAATAGAAGGAAGTCCTGCTGATTTGATGAAACAACTACAAAGAACTCTTAGGGTAAGTGCATGAATACATTTCCTTTTTACCAAAATATCATTTTCAGTATTCCGTCAAGCATGCGGTTCTTGTAGCACAAACTGAAGGAGTTCTGATCTTCTGATGCAGCCGCTCACATTCTGGAGAAGCTGTGAATATCCACAGCTTGGTAAACTGCAAAAGTAACATGACCAGTGCTTATTTGCCTGCTTATCATTGCTGTGAAAATGTCTGCCACCATCAGACAGCCCTAAAATGAAATGTGTCCTGTATTTACTAAATGAACCATATATGGCAGTAGCATCATAACATGTCTACGTGCATTCACAAAATTATGGCTGATTATAGTCATGACTGTTGGAAAGTACTGCATTCCTGAGAGCTGACTACAAGTGAATCATGAAGGAATTTAGATATTTATCTGCCTTACCAAATTGGATGAGTAATTGGTTTACATTAAACCACCCAAGAGTTTATAATTCTTTAACTCAATTGATGTGAAGAAAAAGAGAAAGCCCAAAAAATGTGAGAGCACATCATTTATTGGGATTACTTATTTTTTCTTTTGCATAACAAATTATAATAAAATTATATAAAAACTATAATAATACACGTCTTAGGGAAAGTTTAACCTTACTTTTAAAATCCTGCCCCATGAAAACATACAGAACGGGGTTCAGGCAGCTGTTGACATACGCCAAAGAGACGGCCAACGGATCCACTGCCGAAGCCACAGAGGAACTCGAGTCCTCTCCGTACATTGCTATCAAATCTACTATGTGATACGGCAGCCAGCAGAGAAAAAAGGCCACAATTACAGCCAACATGATGCGAACCGCTCGTCCAGAGTGAAAAGTACTCCTGCCTAACTTGTGTGCGATGACTCCGTAGCATGTTGTGATGCATATGAGAGGAATCAAAAAGCCAAACACAAATCTGATGACGCTTAATGTTCCAGATGCTGAAAGGCTGGAATCAACTTCTTCATCAGCATGAAATGTGCAAAGTGTGATGTTAAACTCAGAAAATGTCTATAATAAACAATCAGGCCATAGTAACAAAAAAAAGATACCATTTGTGTAATTTAATACTTTTTTTATTGGAAATATTTTGTAAACATGGATTTGCCCACTTTATTGCATGAGAAAAATAAAAATTTAAAAACTCAAATAAAATGTGATTATTTACACCATGGTTTTGGCAAAACAGTTGAATCTAATTATGTGCTTAAGTACTAAATAAAAGTGGAAGCAAATTAGCTTTTAAAAAGATACCAACACCAAAACCTACAGGAATAATTTAATTATCAAACATTACTTCAGTCCTTCCAAGACTATTGTTTCATTGAAAAGACACCCCCGCCTCATCTGGCAACAACTATACACAAATAGCAGAGCAATGGAACTTTGTTTTTTTATATAATCTATGTCAACCGTCAATGTCATTCAACAGTTCCGAGGGTTATTTCTTGCTTTCAAAAACGCACACACACAAGTGTAAAATGTTACACTACGGCTATCAGTACAGGTCATATGTCCACAGAAATGCTTATCTTTATAGGAAATACTATACCACTGAATCGGTTCATGCAAGGAGAAAATCCATGATGTAACACACAATATTCAACAGTAAGAATGTGTTTACCATTTTAATTAATACAGGTTTACTGTTTGTTCTAAAAAAAAAAAATTTAAATGCATTAGTATTGAATTCCACCAAAGGTTTAACAGCGTCCCAAATAGTCCATCATTAGTCAATATTCTTGTCATGTCAAGGTAAATACAGGACACTGATGTGTGGTTAAATTATATATATATATATATATATATATCAAGTTCAAGGTGAAAACACTGGCAAACATGGTGATGACTATAACAGAGGGGAGAATCTTGCACATGACGGATCCATACGGCCAGTGATGGTTAAGGAGGATCTGCGCCACACTGAAGGGTATGGAAAGGCAGCACAGGAGGTCTGCAGTCGCTAGATTGAGAAACCATATTGTATTAACCGTCCTCTTCATCTTCATTCCAGCGATGTACACAACGAACATGTTTCCGGGAACTCCGAGGAGGAACGTCAGGCAGTAGATGACCAGAGAAAGTATCCACATGGAATCGTTCACCTCTGGAGACACAGAGTGTGTCTCACTTTCATTCAAACACAACAGACAATAATTGAAACCTGAGGATTCATTGATGTAATAGTCTGTAAACGCCTGGTTCATTTTGCTCGAGTTGCTGCTGTCCAAAGTGCTCTGTTAATCCTGTAAATATCACATATTTTCAGTGTCAAATATTTCATTTAGCAGATGCTTTTATCCAAATGAGGAAATTAACAAGCAACATTCAACATCATTAAACAATACAATGAATTTTTATTATTAACATTTCAATTTGTTCTAAATAGTCACTTATATGTTGATATGGTTTGAATCACACTTCAGTTTTAAAGATCCAATATAAATGTCTTACAAAACTTGTACTCACCTCCCCAGCTGCTCTGTACTCACTAACGATACTTGCCCCGCTTACCCCTTTAATCCGGAACCACAGGAAATAGAAGGAAGTCCTGCTGATTTGATGAAACAACTACAAAGAACTCTTAGGGTAAGTGCATGAATACATTTCCTTTTTACCAAAATATCATTTTCAGTATTCCGTCAAGCATGCGGTTCTTGTAGCACAAACTGAAGGAGTTCTGATCTTCTGATGCAGCCGCTCACATTCTGGAGAAGCTGTGAATATCCACAGCTTGGTAAACTGCAAAAGTAACATGACCAGTGCTTATTTGCCAATTATATATATATATATATATATATACATAATCAAATCTGTACAGTACAAATTGTCAAATATGTTCGCCCTCCCTACTGCTCCCTACCTCCAACATTAGCTTAAACAGCAATCAACCAGCAAGAATAAGTTTCTTAATACAGGGTGCAACAACAAGAAGTTCTAAGAAAGTGGCCCCCACAGAGGTTTTTCCACAAAAACACAAAACAAATTATAAACAAGGCCAGTCTGTAATAAGTGTTCTCTGGTTTTCTAAGTCCAAACTTATACGGAAGTGACAATGTAAGACCCACTTTCAGTCGCATCTCCTTTAGTGTCTCTCTTTTTTGCATTGCTTGAAATAGGTGTTGGGATCTGGGATGGTCTTGGAGTTGTGCTGTCAGCAGTACTCTTTCTGGGGTTTGGTGTGTAATTAAAAGGACTTACCCTAGCAGCCAAGGCTCCACTAGGGGAGCTGTGTTTGCTAGAGTTAGTTGAGCTAAAAGGTGCGCGTTCAGCAACTGGGAATTCATGGACCTCTGTGCCAATGTTTGGGTTACTTGGTGCAGGCTTGATATCAGTGACTTTTTTATCAAGAGACTCGCTACTCCTGAGTAAATTCAGATTTGTTTCTGAACCCAGGTGGCCCATAGCTCCATTCTCACTTGCTAGTGGCTGTTTTGAGTGCGATTCGCTTGAGTCCCTGTCACAAGGTAGCCCTTTGTTTGATTGACTGTCAATAACAGGAGGTGTGTTTGCTGTGGGTGATTTACTAGACCTTGGATTGTTTATGGGACAGTCTTCAATTCTCACCCAGACATCTTCTGTCTTGGACATAGCAGCACCCATTGAATGAGCAGCATCACCAGTTGGATCTGGTAAGTCTAATGTCATAGAAGGTGCATATGAGCTTTCGCTGTCTTTCATTTTCCTCCATGTTCCTTTGCGTTCGAGGCCCCCCTCTTTACCTGATTTTTGAGGAGGATTAGCGGGTTGCCGTTCATCCTCGCTTCTTCCCTTTTCACTGGACTCAGACGAAGCAGAGAGAATGGAAGAGCTGCTGCCGGTTCTTTTCCAAGTGCCTACTCTTGGGAGAGATGATGAATGTTTGCTGTGCTCCCTTTTCCATGTCCCCGTCCTGTTGATTGGGAGCCTGGAAGGGCTTTCTGAATGGGATCGGGAGATGTCATGCCTTCGGAGTGACTTTCCATCACCATTCTCTGCAGAGTTCTGACTATGAGGGGACTTTCTCCAACCACTTCCCTGGTAGGGTAGACTAAGTGACATGTCAGGTAAGGATGGACTAGATACTGGTGTCTGTGACTGGCTTGGAGACGAAGGAGACAAGGACTCGAAAGATGCAGACTCCTCTAATTTTCTTTTTAGTGTTGGACTAGGAGCTTCTTTGATAAATGTTGACTGACGAACAAATCCAGGCTTCTCGGACCGGTCAGACTCACTCCCACTGGATTTGGTAGATGACATCCTGGACAACTCTGCCTTCTTTGAAGGGCCCGAGGCTACACACTGGTTTAGACTTTTTGAGGCAGATTCACTTCTAGGAATTCCACTGGTACTTCTTGGCAAACCACTCTGCTTTGTTGGTGTTTGCTGGCCCAGTTGCCTCCCTGGAGAAGTGTAAGCCATGCGTCCAGATCCAAAAGATTTTGTTGAAGCAGCACTGGGGGAGGCAGTGCGAGGCAGCTGGGTTAATTTGCTAGATGGGCTCAAACCATTCCTACCAGGTGAAACTGAGGCACGGCCAGGGGACTGCATGGGCCTTGTTAGAGATTGCTGAACTGGTCTAGAAGGTGTGGAGTCTCTAGACCCAGATCCAGAGGAAGCTTTACTTGAACCTCCTTGAGATGATGCTGGGTCCCTGGCAGGACTAGGTTCAGAACTTGCTGGGATTTTCATGGTTCTTGGAGAGTTTCCAGGACCAGGTGCTTGGGATGGTGGCTTTGACATTTGGCCACGTGGAGGGTTTTTTTTGGGTACCGGACTGGTGCTAGGAGAGCTGCTCCTCACACCAGGAACATGAATCATTGTCCTCCCTCTGGAGATCACTGGAGCTTGAGCTTGTCTGTGCTGAGAGGACATGCTTTCAAGACTGGGTCTGGGCTTTCCTGTGATTAGACTTTTATACACTTTCTTTCCTCCTTTCAGGCTCTTAGATTCTTCCTCTTTATTTTTGGACTCTAAAGAGCTTTTCTCACCAGGTTTTAGTATTCTTGGCCCTTTATTTGTAGCAGGCTTATTGTCCTCCTGATTTAAAGGGAGGTGGAAAGGTGATCCAATGGAAATGCCCGATTTGAGAGACAGAATAGAGTCTGAATCAGAGGAACCTTGTCTGGAGAGACTCGCTGCAGCCTGATGTAGACTGCTAACTATAGAATTGGCACCCTCTTGAATGGCTTTCCAATCAAATGATTCAGAGTCTGGTGACAAGGCTTGCTCAGAAAAAGGGCTATGTGTGTCTGTGAGATCTAATATAAGATCTGGTTCCTCTGCTAAAATACCATCAGCCAACATGCTCTTTTCTTCCTTAATCCCTGGTTTCTTAGTCTTACTTCTTGGTGGCTGTTTCTTTTTCTTTGGCATTGCAGAACTGATGCATTCTTGGAGAAGGTCATCTTCAGAATCAATACTGAGGGAGCTAAGGGAACTATTTCTAGAGAAGCACACAGGGGTGTCCTCAACATGAAAGGCCTTTGGCGCATAACCAGAGGCTTGTGGCCTGGGCACTTCCATCTGAGTTGCATCATCTTTGTGTGAGCAATCTTTGTTGTTGTTTTCTTGGTCGATGTCACTTAATGAGCTAAGGGATGAGTTTCTTGAAAAACATACAGGTGTGTCTTCAATGGAAAACTTTTGCTTTTCATCGCACACTGCAACTGTATTTTCTTTGGGTGCTTGTGGAAAACCTGGTTTTTGAAGGGGTTTTGTTGGAGCTGTCTGAAATGCTGATACTCTGTTGGTGTTTACTGGCTGTTCTGCACTGCACTTCAAAGGGGGAACTTTTCTTTGCTCTTTATCTTTTCGTAGCTCAGCTTTCTCTTTAGACAAGTCAAAATCGTCATCCTCAAAGTCAAGTGAACTCAGTGAATCATTGCGAGAGAAGCAATAAGGTGTGCCCTCAATTGGTGTGTAATGATGCGGAGAATCAAAGGCAAACCCAGGACGTGTTCTCACCTCAGGATTAACAGGCTTATCAGCAAACTCTCTTGTGACTACTTTGGACTCTTGCTTTTCCATTTCTTTGTGTTTATCTGGATATGATGCTGCTTCTGACAAGCTATTAGGAGCCTCTGGCCGTTTGAGCATCCTTGCTCTGTACTCACTGCTTTGTGGCATAGGTTTTACAGGAGAAGTTGGCTTTTTCTTTTCCAAGTCTTGTTGAACTAGGTTGCCAGTGGCAGTGGACGGATGCTGAGCCTGTTCAGGCATCTTCTGCACTCTAAATGGCTTGTGAATTTTGCCTTTGGGCATTGCCGAATTGATACACTCTGCAAGAATATCGTCCCCTTCATTCTCAGCCAAGGGAGACTGCATGGGAGGTGATAAACCTATATCTTTAGCCTCTGCACTTTTCCCCTCTGGCAGAGTGTCTCGCCTTTGACCAGATACTTCTGCATGGGGAGCTGAACTTTCAATACCCGCCAACTCATTTGGGGGTGAATCAATCGTGAGGTCACTGAGAGATGTTGCTGTGGAAAAGTTAATGGGTGTTCCCTCAACACAGTACACCCGGGGTATGTCTTCACAGTGTGTTAGGGCAACATGTTTCAGCTGTTGTCCTCTGTTTTGTGTTGGCAACAATTTATAAACGGGGAGCTGACTTGGTTTGCGAGCCACGGGTGGGGGTATTCTAGAGGTGCTTGAGGGTGATTGCTTTTTCGTTTTTCTTGATGATTTTGTTGGCATTGCTGAGTTTATACAAGCCTCTAGAATCTCGATGTCGTCATCATCATCCGAGTCATCCAAGATATCTTTTCTAGGTTCAGTTGTTGATGGTGGTTTCTCTTGAACCTTGGGCTCTTGTATGTTTTCTTTCTCAAGCTCTGCTTCATTAGTATGGTCATCCTCATGAACTGGGGGCATTATCTTCAGCTCAACATCTTTCTGAATAAAAGGTTCATCTAAACTTAGTGCACTTAGACTCGAAGCGCAAGAGAAGCCATCTGGAGTGCTTTCTGTGGCAAAATGTAAAAGAGTATCATTATCTGGTAAAACCTGCACTTTCTGTACAGCAGCACTTACAACTGCATGTCTTGGAGCTAATTCACGTTTTTCAGAATGGGGCGGCACAGTAACTTTTTGTTTTACTGACGTGGATCGTGGTGGTGGAGGTGGTGGTGTTTTGCTGCGACTTGGTGGCATTGTTTGTCCAGGGCTATCAGGCAGATCACTTGGACTGATAATCCCACTTACCATCCCACTGCACGGCTCACTC